CTTCCGATTTAAGAAAACAATAGGAAATACTGTCAAATACCCATCAATATGGGTAGTTTTTCAAATCGGGGTGACTAGAGATTGGAAATAGATATGCGACGCCATTTTGAAATCCAAGATGGTGGCTTCCAGATTTAGAAAAAGTGGGAAATACTAACAAATACCCATCAATATGGGTATTTTTGGAATCGGGATGTCCTTTACTGCCGCTCTTCGCATGTCGGTCCCATAGTTGTTTTTGTCAAAAATGAGTTTTTCAGTGCAAATGCTAGATAATCACGCATATTTTCACAATACTGGATGAACTCAACAACTTTGTTCTGAAAAAGTTTGGAAATACAGTCAAATTAGTTGTCCCATCACATAAGAAGCAATGGTACGAAGCAAACTTAAAAAGTGATTTTCTCGGCTTACTGATTTTCGCTATGGGACGGACATGCGAATAGCGGCAGTTTAGAGAATAAAAGTCAATGTCCGACGCCATTTTTAAATTCTTGAAATTTTGAAAAAATGGAAAATTCTATCAAATATCCATACATACAGTTTTCAATCAGGTTAATGCCTAGAAGCTGGAAATCAATATCCGATGTCATTGTGAAATCCAACATGGCGGCTTCCGATTTGAGAAAAAGTGTCAAATACCCTAAAATAAGGGAATTAGAACTAAAATATGGGAAATTTTCAGAACGTATATGCCGAAAATCGATGTCAGACGCCATATTTAAAACCAAGATTTTCAAAACTGCAGCAATGTCTAGAGTCCAGAAACCAATGTTTGACGCCATGTTAAAAGCTAAGATGGTGACTTTTGTTCAGAAATAGTGTGAAATACTGTCAAATATCGATCAATGGGGGTATTTTAGGAATCGGAGTGACATCAAGATGGCGGCTTCCGATTTTAGGAGAAGTGTCAAATACCGTACTAATGGAAAGAAAACGTGATTCAACATGTTTGCAAGCATCAGAAGAGATGTCGCAATCTGCGTTATTTGATTTTCTCCCGGACCAGAAATTAGTGCATCGCGAGTGATAATTTTTAATTTCAGTTTATTTACGCGCTGCAAGGTGCGTGAAAGAGTTTGGCACAATCGGTGTTGATGTTGGCTCGCTGCTTGCATTTTTTTTTTTGTGTTTTCAAAAGTAATTGATCGAAAGTGTACCAAAAGTGCTTCTGAACGTGTTTCGCAGTTGGGAGTGGTGAAATTCGTAAATTCGCGGTTTATGTTCAGTGAAAATTCCGTATCACAAAATTGCTCACCGAGTTCCCGTTTTTTTGCCGTTCGCCGACGACGGGCATGCGAGAGAAAAATAAGCATCGGGAATGTGCTCCCGGATGTATTGATTTGGTGAGTACGTTCCAGTTGAAGATTGTTCTTATACATATCTCGATTGTATTTTCGAGGGGACGTCCGGAGAGATTTGAGATTTAGGCGTTGTTGCTTTTGCGGGCAGACGAGTTGGTCGCCGGTAAGGGCCAGTAAGTGCTGCCAGCAGATGAATCAAGAGGTATTCCAAACAAAATTGGTAAGAAATGTTCCTTCAAATCGATTTAATACAGTTGAACAATATTAAAACTATATACGTGCCAGATTTGGAAATAATATTTTTTGAATCTGGAAGTGTGTTTATGATACCATTATCCATTTGATAAAGGTAGAGTGAACATGCGGGGCTTATTGTAAGTAAAAGTGACCTTGGAGTGGTCGTGAATTACCAGGCATTCTGAAATGGGTCACTGGAGCTGCAATAGAGCTAACACCTTCTAACTCCCGGACTAAACCTGCTTTAATTGGTAATAAAAAGCAGTTTTCTTCCATAATAACACTGCCGGACAGTGGGGGTTAGATTGTACGCACACACACACACACAAGTGTCAAATACCGTACTAATGGCGTCGAATATCGATTTTCATATCTTAGGATATTTTACATTTTTTTCTGAGCCCGATGGCCGGCATATTGGATTCCAAAATGGCGTCAGACATCGATTTTCGGCACATTCGCGTCGTTCCCGTTCCGAAAATACCCAAATTGTAGGGTATTTGAGACTTTTCCTTATCCCGGTGGCCGCCATCTTGAATTCGTTAATTTAATTTTCGTTTAATATAAAAGAACATTTCATTACTACATAGTCCAGATGACATCCCTATCGGCAACCGATATTGTGTGGATACTATCTGGATACGCGACGCGTCACATGTCGAATGATCCCCGAATTGAAGTGAAAGTGGAAAAAAACGAAGGATGCAGATTTCGAGTCATTGAAACAAGTCTTTGATTCAAATGAAATGAACTGATGCACTTGACGAAATTTCGCTAACAAACCATTTACAAAATGTTTATTGCCTCGAAAAATGACCCTATGCAAAATTTGAGCTCAATCGGACATGATTTAGGGGTGGCGCAAACGCGTCAAAGTTTGACTTTTTTCAGTTTCGAAAATCTCCCAAGGGTTGCTTCTATTTTACGTGGTCTCAGATACTAAAAAGTAATATCATCAAATGTTTTGAAGTTTGGATTCTTAAAAATTCCAAAACACAATATGATGATATTTTCAGATACATGCGTTTGGTAAAAAGTAATGGTTTTTACATACCTATTTTGATTTTTGGACCACCCTAATGAAGAATAATTGGACCACCCTAGTGAATTTTTTGTATTAGAAATGGTGGTTTAATTCGATATATAAGCAGGTTGAAGACAATTGTGAACAGTTTTAGAAGCCGACTCATCAATCTTCTATATTCCATATAGAACTCATGAAAAAAAAAATCCAAGGCCCAAAAAGTCGATTTTTGAAAAAAAAAAAAAATTCGAGATAACACCAAATCTCGACGTTTCATGCATTTTTAAGACATTTGGCAACAAAAAAAAAAAAATTGATTTCCGAAATTTCATGTACCCCCCCCCCCTTGGGAGATTTTCGAGAGTGAGAGTGCGTTTGCGCCACCCCTAAATCATGTCCGATTGAGCTCAAATTTTGCATAGGGTCATTTTTCGAGGCAATAAACATTTTGTAGGGGTTTGTTAGCTAAATTAAAAATTACCATTTTCGCTGGCAGTCTAAGGTGCAGTTTTTTCGCGACATCCCGAACGGAATAGTTGGGTTTCCGTTTTAAGGCAGCAGCGCTTGCGATCTTCAACGCAGTACGGAACACTTTTTCTTGCAATCACTTGCTTCCGATCGACAGTTAAACGTTCTCCGAAATGCTTTATGACACGAGAAACAGTAGATTGTTGGATTCCCAACGTTTTTAACTTGTGCATAATTTTCTCGCGCACTCGCTGTTCCTTCCTCTCCACTTTCAAAACTACTAATCATTTCTCAATGAAATTCACGCAGTGTAAGCAACACACGCTGAGGCCATCTCACCCAAAATTTCATAAATATTAACCCAAAGGGCAAAATGTCGCAGCTTTTTGAAAAAGATGCAATTTCACTGTGGACACCCTTTAGTACTGATAAATTTGCATGATAGTCACTCAAATCCAATCGAATTATTAAGAGCCAAAAAAGATGGACGGGGACCACATTTCGAGAAGCATTAGTTTAAATCATGATTTATTAAGAGGCGACGTCTGAGTCGGTACTTTTTTTCGACTCCAACTCCTTAAGTTAAAAAAAATGCGTTCATCTCCGATTCCGACTAGGCGACTTCGACTCCGGCTCTACATCCTGATTCTTAATGATTTCAGTGGAGAATTTCAAGGTGATTCTTAAATGAATTTAGAAGGCTTTGCAAGGAGAACTTAAGCTGCATTCGTCGAATGAGCATTATACCACAGACAGACATACAAATTAGTACCGTTGTACTCCTTTAATCAAGTACCTCAAAACGTACAATTTGTGGTACTAGCTTAAAGGAGTACAACCAACAATCAATACGAAACTAACGATTTTAAATTCTGGTCGAAATTCTAGTACTACGCAATGTTTGTTTTGATTCGCTATGAAAGTTTGACAGGTAAAATGAGGGGTTATTGGTTTTTCCTATGTTTCGAGGGGTGAATCGATTAGCTTGGGACCGAAGAGAGTACCAGAGCTGAGCCAAAAAGTTGAGCACGTTATTTCGGGACCTTCTAGTCTTAGAGTTACCTCTATGGTACAACGGTAGTACAACAGAGAACTTTGTATGTCTGTACAAGGTATTATGAGTTAAGGTACAGTAAATCTGAAGAGAATTCCATTGGGATTGGAAGGAGCAGCCCTGGAGTATTTCTGAGCAAAATGTTTAAATAGCTCTGACAATAACTCAAATAACAATTCCATTTGATTTTCGTCCATAATTCCTAGAAAATTATGACAGGAGCTCCAAAGAACTTCTGACATGCATTTCAAGAGAATTCCGATCAAATTTCACGGAAATCAGAATTTGGCATGAGAATGCAGTCCCACCAGATGCAGATTTTTATTTCAATTAGAAAAGGGGCGCCATTTCCAAAGATTGCCAACCCAACTAACAATTTTAGCTGCAGAATACCTTATACAGGCAAAAATGGGCTTATATAGCTATTTTTTTTCTGTATAAGGAAGCCTGCAGCTACAAGCCTTAGTTGGGAAAAGCGCATTAATCCCTCGCTACGTCACTGATTCTGCGATGAGGATTTTTTCGGAGCTTCTGTGCGAAACTCATTCAAGGAACTCGAAACAAGCTTCTTCCCGAAGTCTGGAGATGTGAGTGTAAAGTTCTCAGGAAAGCAACTCAATCCAGGATTCAACGTTGAAATTTCCAGATCCTGATCGAGATGCTGAAAATTTCTTTTTCGAGATTTAAATTTGTTGTTTAATTTAGTGTTGTGAATTTTTCGATTTAATTGTTGATTCGACGTTTAAGGCTGATGCAATTGAATTCTGATGTAACTAAATTCGACGTTTGCCGATTTTTTCCCAATTTGGCAACACTGCATTCGATTTATGCGGTATGTATATGACGACGACGAGGCATCACACACAGTTCTCTCACCGAATAACCACCCCCTCCCCCCTTTTATTTCACTTACCTGTATAGAACAGCAGCCCATTCGGTTGCCGAGTCCGGAAGTAGAGCGTGATGGCGTCTTGTGCGCTTACTATCGGTTCTCCGCCGGTTTGGCCCAGGTCGTACGAGAGGAACTCCGTCCCGCGAAAGGTTGCCTCCGAGGGGGCTTTATCTGAAATGGAAAGACGTAAAAAGAACGTAACAGGGTGGTGATAAAAAAAAAACTTGGATCCAGATCGTCGTGGCTGGCAAGTGAGACCTTTAGTTTAAAATTCAAATAAAATTCCATCCGGAAAAGCTTTCCTCCTTATCGCTTCTATTTAGAGCTCTTGTACCTATACATTTCGCGTACGGCCGAGGGGTGTGCAAATGGGTATGGGGACGAAAAGTACAGCATTCGATTGTACAATTTCCGAGAGCGTCAAAAGCGGTCGGTGCTGCTGCACAGCCAGTGATAAGTCTAAAAATAACTTTGGTAGGCTTGGTGTACCTCTAGTAGTGATGGTGGTACAAGTCCAGGCCTCCGGGCCTAGCTGCTGCAGCTTCCGAATAAATTTACATCTTCACATATGCGGTGCCTGTGTTCAGGAGAAGCCTCACTCTTCTAGTATAGTATTGCATGAATACTACAAGGTTCCTCGATTTCTAACGGGTTCTTGTCAGTCAAAGAGCGTAGCATGGGAGGGATTTTACCCTGCAAAGTCGCAATTCATTCCGATCTGGAAATGACGAACGACGGTGCCAAGACGAGGACGAGCGGTTTCGACACGTGCCTTCTTCTACACCACGATGGAGCATGGAGCGAGCGAGGATATTAAATTTTAATTGAGTTGAATTTACAGCTTCATCATCTCCGCTTGTCTAGCCACTTCATATTTTAATTGGAACATCGTTCGTTCGTCTGACTTTTGCTATTCATTTGCCAAAGCGAAAATAGTTGGCCATTTTTCCGTAGCTCGGTTTGTTTAATTACTACTGAATGTCAGAAAAAAAAACGATAATTATCTATCGTTTATCTGTCAAAAAGCGTCCAACTCGTTTTCAAACAAAAACATTACTATCCTAATTCTGGAAAATTTACTCGATTGGATCAAAGCGATTCCCTCGTCGGTTTAATGTGATGCTCGCAAACTTTTCATATTTTCCACGTACAGGTTGGAAACTTTTCCCATTTCGCTAATGTAGCGGCGGTTCACACTGAAACGTGTTTACGCTCTGTGTGGTGAATTTTTGGCCGTTTGTTATCGAGATCCGACTGACGCATCCCGAGCAAAAATGTTGCTGTTCCTTGAAGCTGTTGTTCAGCAATTTCGTAGACAAATTCCTCATCTTAATTTCTATCAGGGAGTCGCCACAAGAACAAAGAAAAAGCGACCTTTCGGTGTTGGTGCTGAATATTTTGACACATGCTCTTATCGGCAGCCGTCGTCAGAGGGGTCTGACACATTAGTCCGTTCTTGGAAGGACCGGCTTCTTATCACTTCCGTCCAGTTCCATTACCCACCCGCACCCTTCCTGCGTACCGAAAAGGCAGCCCCACAAAGTCGGAGCTTTTTATTAGGCCTATCACAATATTTGCTCCAACAATAATTAAATTTCTGGTGATAAAGAGACGAACACGAACCGACTGTTGATGTTGACTCTCCGGAGCGCCGGAGTTCATTGCTCTGGCGAAATTTTCAGGGAAATGAGTCAGCAAGAAGTGATTTAGTGTGCTTTGAGCGGAGGAACCCAAGTTACCCACTGCGAAACAAGAAGCAAGATTAATCGTTGTTGCGTTCGGATCTGGTCCTCCAAGATTCCAAGCAAGGGCTCGCTGGTGCGCCGTGAAGCACGAAAGGGGAGAGACACATTCATAATTGTGTGCGTGTGATGCATTAGTGTTTACACACAGCTCCGGATGTACAAAAGCAAATAATCAGCATGAGAGTGCGAGCAGGTTTTGTCGCTTAAATCGGGCCTGGGTGATGCGGAGACGGACACCGAAATCGAACCACTTTCGGGCGGACAAATCGAATCAATATTTTACCATATCAGCATGAAGAAATGCAGTCTATTAATATGAAAATGTAAGCCACATTTTTTTTGTCAAAGCTTCACAATTATTTCTCTAAACTTTTCCATCTTAAAACGGTTCATTACGATTCTTTCTTCTCTTTCGTGAATTTACGAACGTAAACAAACAATGGAAGAGTCACGGCTTTATGATACATGCAGTTTGACAGCGTTTGACGCCAACTGATGACGATGAATGAATTCACTCCGCATCACCCAGAATCGGGTTAAAGGGAGGCGGCACTGGCTGGAAGCAGGCGACACACGATAAATAATTGTACGGAGATCATAAAAATAATGAAATTTGGCATTCAGCCATTTAGGGTCTGTACTTTGGGGGTAGCACTACACTACTGCTCTTGGGAAGATGGAGCATGGCAAACGGCATACAGACCCGAGTCTACATGGTTTCCAATGAAAAACGGTTTATTATCATATACAGTGTTTAATGCCCATTTCGTTTAGCATTATGATCGGCTTGTTGGATTGTTTCAGTTTTAAGTGCTTTAAAGTTCTGTGCAGAAAAGGGTTGGACACATTCGTAAAATGCTTGGCTAGTAAAAGTAAATCGTTAAAAGGAACTTATCGGGTTTAAATCACTGTACATCCATTGACGGATTAGCGGTATGATCGATTGACTTGCACTACAGAATGATTTTTGCGAAGACAATATCAGAGATCGTTGCTAGGCTGTTTTGCGTCTAGAATTTCTGAATGCAGATCCATAAAAGCTCATTCGAGATTAAAAGAAAATCTAATTCGAGACGCAAGGGAAAATCTTTTACGTGATTCGGGGAGAATCTCTTCCCGAGATTCAGAGAGAATTTCATTTGAAAGCCGGAAAAAATCTCAATCAATATTTAAGGAAGAATCCGCACAGCAAAAAAAAAGGTATTTGAAATTCGATCTTTTTCGTATGAACTTTTTGTTGTTTATTAAATTATTCGATAAGGGTCCATCGAATTAACTTTATAGAGCCGAGGATTCTTGGTCACTATACAATACATCTTAAAACTATAGTCAGAAGGTACAAAACAATAAACACTTTATCCTCCGCTATCCAAAAAGCCTCCTCGATCGGAACGGGACTCGCTTCCAGTGGTTTTATTGTATGGCTGTATTATCAACGTGGGTCAGAGCGCTTCCATTCATCACTAAACGGCTACTTTCCAAAGTCGACGACGCATTGACCGAAAGAACTGCTGATGAAGAACAATGCTGCCGAGAAAACAGACAATCGCGTGGCACACATCGAGAGTGGCCTGCTTTTGTCGACAGCCGAGTGAACACTGTATGAACTTTTTGTCAATGTAACTTGTGATTCAATGTCAATGGAGAAACTTGTAATTCGAAATCATTTACCATGTACATAATCATCATGTAAGTTTACATGACTTGCAAATAAACTAACATGACAAGCTTGTAGCATTTACATGTTTGAAGCAGTTACATACCAGAAGCTGTAAACTGGTCATGCGACACCTAGTCTTAAGATCCGCAAATACAAAAATGATGATGTACTAAAAAAATCATGCAATTTGACAGATATCAAAACGTCAATACCATTTTCAGCCACTCGCTATCTGTGAGTCAATCGTCACTTTGATTCTCAAATAGCTGTCAAATCAAAGAGGAGACTACTGGCTTCGTTTTGTGTGTGACGTGTTCTTCTTCTCTCGCGGAAACGATCGTGCAAAAAACTATTTCATTATGGGCGACGCAGTCGACTGTCAAAATACAAGAAAATTGATTCCCTGTTGTAAAAATTCTCGCGTTTCTATACGTTCGCCCAGTAACGTCCCCCTATTGGCGAATCAAAGCAAAGCCAAAACTGGTAATGTGACACCTAGTTTTAAGATCCGCAATTACAAAAATGATGATGTACTAAAAAAATGTCGTGCAATTTGACAGATATCAAACCGTCATTACCATTTTCACCAACTCGCGTTTTCACTGGCACTGTCAATCCAGAAGTCATACAGGTGGGCACATTTCATGAAATGCTTGCCTCTCTGCAGCAGACATGTAGATTAATTTTGAACTTTGTCCATTAAGTAGATCGCCAGATGTGTACCCGTGAAATTGCGAAGTGGTCAAACTAAATTGTGTGGAAAATGGATTCTGTCATAAGTGTCCTTAAATAATGGAAATGATCTCGTTTTCTACCAGTTGTTTCCTTGTCCCTCCCACTCAACCCATATGTCATCCATGACTACTGTCCGGCCTTAACTCTTCTATTATCAACTCTGCTGGCAATCATATCCTTAAATTGAGGACCTCAACCATAACATAAAGCTGAAAATTACAAATCCCCATGCGACTCCTTTGCTGTTGTTGGTGTGCAGATTAGTCCTGGACACGGGCATTGACTGACCTGGGAAGAAGGACATGGTGCAACTTGCAATTAATTGGTAGGGTCGTGATTGGACTGCTGCTGGTGAGAACTTAGGATTTACAATCAGAAACCGTACCGTTGCATTTGTCATAGAGGTTTTGGCTATGGCTTCCTGGAGGACACTTTTCGTTTTGCAATGGTATTGAAATTGTACAGGATCTTGCCACCTTAATACTACTGAGCATCCAGATGCTTAGAGTAAGTGAATAGATAGATATTTCCTTCCAGCAACCAGCTCCGGTGATCACATGTACTTGAGGATAAGTCCTGCGAGTTCCAAACTCCGATAAATGTGATTGCTTGGGCTGCGCTGTCAAAACAACCGTTCATCAGAGAGCAAGAGAGTTCCTCAGAGTTACTCTGGATTGCTCTGAGTTTCTCACTGTCTTCCTCCTCGGCTCACTTCGTTTGTGGTTCTATTCTGTCAAACTCATTGCGCGAGCGAAGCGCAAGTCACGAATGTTTTGATTGCAAACGTTCCCACAGAAGGAGGTTCGAGCCAAAGTCCTCTCAGTCTCACGCACAGAAATTGTGCAAAGTTGGATCTACAAAATGATTTGTTAAATTCAACCCCTCTGGTTTGTTAAATCAACAATCCCATTTTACCGTTTCAACAAACGTATTTTGTAGAACCGACAATGATGTTATTCGAATTTACAAATTATTTTGTTGATAGTGAGTATGTTTTTCGAAGCGTGTACAAAAAAATGTAGAGTGTAAATATTGGCACCATTTTGTCGCAAAATGAACGAGAATTCAGAAATTGCGGAAGCGGATGCGGAATCGCTCGTCGAGCAATTCCTTGAGGAAGTACAGTTTGATCAACTGGACCCTGAAGAGCTGGAGGTGGTTAAGCTGTTGAAGCAATTCGACTTGTTTTGGAGGTTATTACCGCATTCATCAGTAAGTATCACCCAAAGAAAAAAATCCACAAAAAAACAAAAACAAATTAAAAAATGGGCGATGCTTTTTTTATCAGGAAATAAGTACTCGTTGCCTTCGCTCCGGCTTATAGAGAGGAAGGAAGTGAAGAGCTAATCCAGGCGCCGTTCCTAGCTGAAAGTACTAAGGTTATCCACGGACTGAACCAGTGGCGATATAATCAGGTATGTGTTAACAGATAACTTAAGACTTTTAACCACTTATAACGTAGCATAAAGTGGATGGAATAAACATGTATTGCCAAACATGTACTCCAACTTGTCAATTTAAACCCATTGTTTACAGGGTAGGCCCAAATAAGTGACGCATGAATTAAGGATCGGATCTCCCAAGGAAAGACAAATGGTTTTAATGGTTCTCTTCTATTCTCTTTATTACATTTTGTAGTCTAAATGTACATATTTACTTTTGGATTCTATCGCCTTTTGCTTTAACTATTGCCCTTCGCTTCGGAAAGGCATTACCAGCGGCACGCATCTAATTTTCGGGAATTTCATCCCATATCTTCTGTATAGTATCCTTGAATTTTTCTATACCCATTGGCTTAAGATCCCGAAAATGTGCTTCCATGATTCCCCATATAGAGAAATCCAGAGGGTTTGCATCTGGCGAAGAAGCTGGCCATAGCTCCTTACACACAAAGAACAAAAATTGTTCCTATAAAAATAACGAAACTTCAATTTAAAAGTTTCTCCTATTTTGTAGTTTTAACAACGAAAATATTCAAAATCAAAACATTTTTTTCGGATTAACAGTGTTTCTTTCAATTTCAACTTGTAATTTCAAAAGTTATTTTTTTTAAATAAAAGTCGCAGATCTTTCAAAACTTCCTCGTTATTGCAAAGATTTTGGCATCACTTAACCTTCGTTTGCCGCTAAATTCGAAAGCGTGAAAAATAAACCGTGTCTTCTACGTTTCCACATTACTCTTCCGTCGGTATCTCTTTCGAACTGGAATTGGTTCCCAAAAAGTGGTACGGCACCTCTAATTCATTTTCATCGGATTGCAGGTGATCGTCAAAGCAGCCAACGGAGGGAAGCAATCTTAGATGAAACATAAACTCTATCATAACATGGCGGCAATGATGGCGCTCTCGGGCAAAAGAAACTATTCATGTGCTGGAATTGACGGTAATTTGGTATAATTTTCAATGAATTTCCGATTGTTCTAATTGAGATGTTTTAATTTTCAGCAGCCACAGGCTTGCCGGAAAGGAAGGTTACTCCCACCTCGACTCTCACCCCCATCAAGATGCCACTTTCATTCAAGTACCCCCACACCGCCACACCGAGTCCGTCAGAAGCAAATTATTCCAGCTTTGATCAACAATCTGTAAAATAATATAATTCATATTGTAAAAGCATCGGGAGCGTCACTTCTGCTGCTTTGAAATGGACAATATAATTATTATAAAAAATAAATTAGAATAAAAGGAATTTCCCTGGTTATTTCTTTTAAAAAATAAAAGTAATTGATTTAAAACTAATTCACATGTAAGATATAAACGTATGTAATTGCTATTAAAATGCTTATAATTTGAATTAAAATTTGTTATACGTCAATTTCTTCTTCTTCTTCTTCTTCTCCTTTTGGTGGCGGGACCATAGTTGGTCCATACTGCCAAGTGTGGTCAAGTCATGAAGCGATTTCGTTTTTATTTTTAATCATGTTTATTTATTGGATCGTCGGTCGCGATCTCTTTATTTATTTTTTTTCTTCGATTTAATGAACAGTTGAATATATGATATGATTATAGAGTGATACACCTACGTGAAATCTAGTTTTTATAGTGTTATTTTGTTTAAGGAAATAAATTTTGCTATTTTTTTGTAATCTCTGTAGTCAGAATTAAGTAATAATTCTTCAATATTGTTGAATTCATTTAAAATTTTGTAATTTGTTCTAGAATATTTTAAGCAAACAAATAGAATATGGTTGATATCCTCTTTTACCCCACATGTGTCACATTTGTCGTCTCTAACCAGGTTCCATGAATATAATTTTTCTTTAGTTAGTGTGTGAAAAGTTCTTAGTCTACCTATTGTGACTATTTCGTGTGTAGCTAAATTATATTTATCAAACCATGGTTTTAGTGTCGGGTCTTTTAATAAATTGTAGTGTAATTTGCCTTTCTGTGATGAAAGTGTAGTGTATTCTTGTATCCAATCTTCTATAGTTTCGTGTTTAGCTAAATTGAGAGAGTCTCCCAATGGTATTTTTGAATTTATACTTTGAGTACTTTGACATCCTTCTTTTGCTAGTATGTCTGCTTTCTCGTTTCCTAATATTCCTTTATGTCCTGGAACCCACTGTAGTTTTATCGTTTTATTTGTTGTGTTTAGTTTTGTGATGATATTGTGAATTAAAAAATTATCTTTTAAGTTTTTATTATTTATGCTGGTTAATGCTGATTTTGAATCTGTGCATATGACAAATTGGTTTTCGATTTTTGTGTTTGTGATGTCCAAAGCCATGTCTATAGCCATTAATTCTACATTCATAATCGATAGTTCCTTACTGACTTTGCACTTAATTTTTTCGTTATTATTCTCGATCCATATTCCTATTCCACATGATTCTTTTGTTTTCGATCCATCGGTATATATTTTATAAAAATTATCATATGTTTCATTTAAAAAGTTTATGAAAATGGTTTTTATTGTATCATTATTCATATCGTTAATTTTAAGACCTGGTATGTTTGTTTTAATGTTTTCATTTATATATTTTTTTATATTTTTTGTTGTTTGTGTTGAGTTGTGTGTTAAAATGATTAGGTAATTATTTTCAAATATCGTGTGTTCCAAAAAAGTGTAGTGCTTAGGAAGTTTATCTATTTCTAGGAATTTCTGAGTTATGTTAACTAACGGTTTGTTATATGTAAATGTTTTTATTGCTTCTTTCTTTGCAAGCCATTTTGCCCTACATTGAATCGGGATTTCCCCTGATTCCGCGTACAATACATTTATCGGTGTTGATTTTAGAAGACGTAAACATGTTCTAAGTGAGGCATTGAATGTTGAGTTTATTTTCGTTAAGTTTGTCTTTGCTGCTCCCCCATATATTGTTATTCCATAGTCTATTTGCGCTCTTATTATTGCTTTGTTTATTTTTAGTGCTGTTTTAGGATGTGCTCCATCCTGCTTTTTGCAGATCATTTTCATAATATTTAATCGTTTTTTAATTTTATTGTTTAGATAGTTTATGTGCATTTTATGTGACATTTTACTATCGATTATGTAACCTAGGTATTTTTGTTGTTCTTTTTGTTCTATTTGTTTTTCGTTGATTTTTATTATAATATTATCATTTTTCTTTGAGTTAAATAATATAACCCCTGATTTATCAGGATTGACGTCTATTTTTAGTGACTTCAATTGGTCTTTAAGTTGGTTTAGTATTATATTTGCTGTTATTTCTACTTCTTCACGTGATTCTCCTAGTATTGTTATTGAGAAGTCGTCTGCAAATTGTACAAAAATTATTTTATCGTTCGTTATTTCATGAAGGTTCCTGGTATATAAATTAAATAAAATTGGTGATAGGGGACATCCTTGAGGCAGTCCTTTATTAGTATTTTTAATTATTTCTCCCTGTGTGGTTTCGATTGTGATTGTTCTGTTTTTTTAAATATGTTTCCAACCAAGCAACTATTTTTCTTGGTATTTTAAGATTATCTAGTTGTTTTAATAATATGTTTATGTCTACCGAATCGAAAGCTTTTGTGAGATCTAAAAAAATTGTAGCTATGACTTGTTTAGAGCGTTTTGCTTCTGTTATTACGGAGTTAATATAATTAATACAATTTATTGCCGAATAGCCTTCTCTAAAACCAAATGAAAGTTTGGGTATTAGTTCGTTTTCATCTATGAAAGAGTTAATTCTTTTTTTAACTTCACAGTTTATTATTTTTAAATTTATATTGATAAGTGCTATTGGTCTATAAGATGTTTCTAATGTTTTGTCTTTGCCCGGTTTTAGGATTGGTATTATTTTTATGATTAGCCATTCATCTGGTATTTTTTGGGTCATCCAAACTTCATTTGTGAGCTCAAGTATGCGTATTAATAGATCAGATTTTATTTGTTTTAAGAAATAATATGACAATTTATTTTGTCCAGCAGCAGACGTATCTTTTTTCTCTTTTATTGTTTTCATCATATTTTCAATGTTTAATGGTTGTACATATTTTTCTTGTTCTACGTTGTAATTGTAGAATTGTAAATTTGTGTTACTTTCTTGTTTGAAGTTTAATTCTAGAAATTTATTTGCTAGAGTTTTATTATTTAATAGTTCTATATTATCTTTATTTTTGTAGGTACCACTGACACATCTTACTATTTTCCACATTTTATCAATAGTTGTATTTTCATTGATTTCCTGTAACATATTGCTTCTGTATTGCATTACTTCTTTCTTTAGTGCCACTTTAAAATTTCTTTCTGCCTTTTTAAATTCATGTTTGTTTTCTAGGGTTAGATTTTGTCTGAATTTAATATGTTTTTTATTTTTTGTTTCGTAAAGTTTTTTTATGTTCATTCATACATTCATGTTTCATTCCAGTAAGGTTTAATTTTTTTCTTGCTATTTGGGTATATTGTGTAGGTAGCTTGTTTTAATGCTTCGTTAATTTCATTATTTAAATCATTTATATTTTTAAGAGATTTAGGATTAATTTGATTTATATTATGAATTGCTTTTCCTTTGTTAATTAATGTTTTTGGAATATTATTATCAAATTTATTGAATGCGTTTATTACACATTCGATTAATTTGTGATCTGATCCAAAGTCTTCTGTACTGGTTTCCCAACTGATTTTCGTTCCTAATTCTGCTGATGTAAATGTAAGATCTACTGCTGATGGTCTTTGATTCAAGTCTTCCCATCGGGTTGAAACTCCTGTATTTAGAAATATTATATTACTGAGTTCTAGTTGCTCACTGATGAACTCTCCTCTTCTATCTGTTTTGTCAGTTTGATTATCCCAAATTGGGTTGTGGGCATTGAAGTCCCCCCCTAAGAGGATTGGGGTTGAACTTTTATCCATATAGTTAAAAAGGTTTTCTAGATGATTTTTAATTTCTGATAATGTAGAGTCTGGTGGAATGTAAATGGATATGAATATTATAGGTTGTTTCAGATTTTTTATTTTTACTGCTGTTAGTTCTAAGTCAATATTTGGGAATGTAATTTCTTCAAATATGAGTGTGGGGTGAATTAATATTCCTGTACCCCCGTAACCATCTATTCTACAGCTTTTTACGAAGTTGTAGTTAAGAAATTTATATTTTTCGTCTGGCTTAAGCCAAGTTTCTTGAAGTAGAAATATGTGAATATTTTTGTTTTTTAGGTATGTTTTAATTGTTTCTCTTTTATGAAGAGGTCTTAAACTGTGAATGTTTAATTGGGATATATTTAAGTCTCCTAAGTAGGATTGATCCATGACTTCAAAATAAGATTTATTATGTTTTATGTTGTTCTTTTGTTAGACTTAATAAGTTTTGTATCATTGAACCAATCTCGATCAAAAGTAAATCTGATTCTGTCTTGTTGACGATTTTTTTATCCGTGATTTTGGAAAAGATGTTTTGTAGTAGTATTGTAAGGTTTTGTTTTTGTGTGGTTTGTAGTTTTTCAGCTTCTGTGACTTTATGTGAGTTGTAATTAATAGTTCTGACCTGTTCTGGGATTATTTCTACTGTTGGGTAAGTATTTTTTTTAATTTCCGGTTTATAATTGTTTGTCTGATTTGGTGTGTTATTTTGTGTTAGATTTTGCACAATTTGTTTGTAGTCAATTTTTGTCTTGTTCGAGTTATTTACTTGTCTGAACTCTCTGTTTGTCGTACTTGGTTGTTCCATTTCAGGGAAATCAACGGTAGACTCCAGAAGAGCATAGCTGTTCCTAGTGCTAATTTCAGGCTTTGGATATAGTTGTTCTGCTTCTTGATATGTCATTTTGTTCACTGTCATTGCAACATTTACATGTTCCATTCTTATGCGTTCTGGGCAATCCTTACTAGTCGGTAAATGATCTCCTCCACAGTTCCTACATTTTCGTCTGTTCGTTTTCTGACATTCTGTGTGATCTTCTGTCTCGTATTTTCCACATTTAATACATGTCGTCTTACTCTTACATGCTACATTTTTATGACCTAACCTCCAACATTTTGTGCAAATTCTGACAGGATAAATGTAAATTTCTGGTTTCGCATAAACTCCGTATATTTGGATTGTTCTTGGTAGTTGTGAACCGTCAACGGTTATTTTCACAGATCTTGTATCGATTAGTCCCGATCGTGTGTCTTTCGGATCTTTCCTTCGTTTTATTCTTTCTACTCTGATTATCTTTTTTTCACTTACTGCATTTTGATAGATTTCTCGCTCTGTGATTGTCGTAGGTATGTTTTTAATGATTCCCGTAGTTTCAAGTAACATTTTTGGAATGAAAGCTTTGTAGTTATTGTTTTTTAATGTTTGTGTTGAATTAAGGATTTTTTCTGTGTCTTTTGGTTTTTTGTATGTAAGTTTATATCTGTATTGTCCTGCTCGTTTGAGTTCTGTGAATTGGTCAAGTTTCATTTCATGTAAAAATTTACCCACTTCCATGGGTTCTAGCAAGTTTTCACCTTCTCTAATCGAGATTGGTTCAATGAATACTACATTGTGTTGGTCGTTTTTAACCCAGTTATGTTGTTCTGGTTGATTTTTGTTGTTTTTTTCTGTTGGTTTTGTGGTCGTATTATTTTTGCTTGTGCTTGGTGTTTGTGAGTTGACTGTAGTGGTAAAAGTTAGTGTTTGTTTTTGTGAATTTGATTCTGATTGTTGTTGTGATTGTTTTGTTTTTTTGAGTTGTTTGTTTTTGTCTTTGTTTTCTGTATATTTGTCTCGTCTTTTCCTTGTTCTTTGTTCGTCTGTGTTTGTTTCCATTTCGTCTTCCGGAAATCCCTCAAAGAGGTCATTGTCAGATAGGGGTAACGATATCTCCAGCCATTCCTTACCTTTGTCTGGTGGTAAGTTGGGACCTTCTTCCCGTGTGTCTTCCATACTTGGTTTTACCCAAGCATGAAAACTTAACCTAACCTAACTTCAAAGATTACCTACTTTTTCTCTTTTTTTACTATTTACACCTTAAAAACTAACGATCACTTAAAGAATATCACTCTATTTGATATTACAAGTATTTACACTAAGAAAAAAACTGTTAATTTATCGAATTAAAAGGAAAATAAAGAAATTTTTTATCAATCCCAACGCACGCGGTTTGTAAAATTCGCTTCACTACACTTGACGCACTATATGGCTTGGTTCGTGTGGTCCGCTCTTAACGACGGTTTGAGGAGAAGTGTATACGTCAATTTAAAAACTATAGGCTTTCAGTTTGACAGTTCTACAATTCGATTTGAAAGTTTCAACTTTTAAAAGTAGAAAGAGAGCTACTTTTGAATTGACAGTAAGGGGACTTTAGTTTTGAATGCTAAATACTTTCTACCAAAAAGAACCAACGCTAACTTTTAATTTTACCAATGTTTTTTTTTAGATTTATTAACGATTATTTTTTGTGTGTATAGGAATGAAATCTGGTAAATTTGCGGTGCACCATGCTTGGGTAATCTTTGCTCCATAGGACGGGGCAGAATCCTGCTGGAACACCCATTTGCGGTTACCGAACATCGTTGAAGCATGCTTCTTCAAATGGTATTCCAGAACCTCTCTTACATAGTAAGCCGCGTTGATTTTCACTCCTTTGTCAATAAAAAGCAGTCCGCGACTCCGTGAATTGAAGAAGGGATATCCTAAATCATCGCTGCATAGACCCTGTCGTTTTGAGCGTTGAAACTTTGCTGCAATACGAAGTTTTTTTTCGTCCGAAAAAACGATCAAGGAATCACTGTGCTGGCGAAGCAGTTCACGACAACGAATAATTCGGTTCTTCTTGTTAGCTTCTGAAAGTCCATGAATTCTTCTTTTCTTGTACGGCACCTATCCCAAATCGTCTTTGAGAATTGATCTGATAATTTTCCTGGAAACCGCCAGATCCTGAGCGAGTTTATATGACGATCGACAAGGATTTCGTTGAATTCGTTCTCGTACTACCTTCACAAGCTGTTTAGTGCGTACGCTGCGTGGACGACCAGGTTTTAATTTCGGAACGATGGTCCCCTCCGTCCTCCATCTTCTCAACGTCCGGTCGATTAATGTGCGACATATTCCTTCCTTCCTGATCTCAGCCAATATCTGGTAAGCACACTAACCCTCCAAATGCAACTGCAAAATCCTTTTTCTTTTGAAATCCATCTCTAACTGAGGCACTTCCTGTTAATGTAATATAGCGCACAGTAGTTTGTTTACATTTTAATCAGTCACTCTTTCATGTGTTAGCCACCAGATAGCTCTCGCATAATCCAGAAGAACTTTACTCTGAAGCAAAAAAGTGAGTCAGTTATTTGGGCCTACCCTGTACATCGCTTGAAAACTGTTTTTGCTATTCCTCCTCAATTCCTATTCACCGTAGTAACAGGTACAATTTTTCATGTTTCAGGGTCTTCCAACCCTGTCACACACGTCAACTCCTGTCGCACACGTTGAGAAAACCTCAGTATCTCGAGAAGAGTGTACGGCATCCTATCTACTCACTCACTCTGCAGAATGAAGATCGATCATGGAAAAGTACAATTCATCTGACCTCAAGCTTCTGTCACGTAAGGACAACCCAACTAACAATTTTCGCAATGTAAACGCTTGACTCATTTCATTTATACAGCCTCAAGCTGTATTCAAATGTTATACGATATGAGGAAACCTTTACTCAACCTCTATACAAGCAAATCTGGCGAACTTAGTCAGCTACTTCTAACTGTTGTGACGGTTGGAACAAGCTCTTATTGCATATCTATTTAAGCTTGTATACAGCTGTTATCCTGCTGTTTAGTTGTGTGTGAACTTGAAAGGCGCTTACTCAACCTTTACCCGATTATGCAATAATCACTACACAGCTTTCTCTTGAAGCCGAGTTAAATATTATCTACGCTTTTTTTGTTGGAGATTGATTGAGTTTATTTTGATGCGAGAATCAAATTATTCGAAATTCGTTATAAAGCACACCACCAAATTATTTACCCTGCACCGGAACCTGGAATCGAACTCTGGACGACCGTATTGGCAAACCTTGACACTACCATCTTCGCTACGCCACCACGTTGAACTGAGTTAAACAAATATACATGACTTTCTACAACAATACCGTTGAGTAGAGGCTGTCTAATAGTGCAATGCACATGAATCACTTTTCTCGACTACCCAACTAACAATTTTCGCAATGTAAACGCTTTACTCATTTCATTTATACAGTCTCAAGCTGTATTCAAACGTTATACGATATGAGGGAACCTTTACTCAACCTCTATACAAGCAAATCTGGCGAACTTAGTCAGCTACTTATGGCTGTTGGAACGGTCGGGAGAAGCTCTTATCGCATATCCATTAACGCTTCTATACAGCTGCTATCCTGCTGTTTAGTTGTGTGTGAACTTGAAAGTCGCTTATTCAACCTTTTCCCGGTTATCCAATAATCACTACACAGCTTTCTCTTGAAACCGAGTTAAATACTGTTTACGCTTTTTTATGAAGGAATTTATTGAGTTTATTTTGCTGTGAATCAAATTAATCGAAATTAGCTACAAAATCATCACCAAATTATTTACCCTGCACCGGAACCTAGAATCGAACTCCAGACGACCTCATTGGCAAACGTTGACACTACCAACTGTGCTACACCAACACTTTGAACTTATGTAAACAAATCAACATTCCCTTCTACAACAAAATCGCTGAGTAGAGGCTTTATAATAGTACACATGAATCAATTTTCTCGACTAGTTATAAAAGAGCAGAGTAAAAGCTGTTAAACTGCACACGTCTAAAAATAAACCTAGTTGACTGTAAAAATGCTTCCAAAGTATCACTAACACAGTTAATTAGCTGAGTACAGGTTGTTTAGCTGTTGAAAAAGCACTTTTGATGTTTATGTTATTCAGCAAGAGTGGTTGGTTGTGTAGAAGCCATCAAATGAGTAATATATTCACTTTGTTAGCTTTGTTTTGCAGCTACAAGTTGAAAGTTGATTAGTGTGTGTATAGAAGTGACATTAGCGTTTATTGGCTGATGTTATTCAGTGCGAATGACAAATTGAATAATGGTTGTGAGAAAGTTGAGAAAACGGTCTCCAAAACTACTTTGCAGCTTCTGCTTGTAGCTGTATCTGCAGCTTTGTTTCAGCTACTTTACAGCACAATGCTGGAAAAGTTGGCTTATAAAACTGAAAATGTTAGTTGGGAAGGCAGCAATGTAATTTCAATGCAAATATAGAATAACAATAAAAATTCAATAAAAAACAAAACATGAACTTTTTTTTGTGAGCAAAAAAGTCCTTACCGAACATTATTAAGTTAACAAAATGTTTGTTAATTCTAATAACCTACCATTGTCAGTTCAACTAAACATTATAATTGATTTAACAAACATGATTGTGGACCCAACCAAAAAAGATTGTTGTAACGACAATCATATCTAGTGGTGGTGATAACTATCACGATTGTAGAATCAATAAACATACCGGGTTGAAATCAATAAAATTGTTTGTTAGCCCTCAGATAACAAACATGTTTGTTGATTTTGACCCAATATTTTGTTGAACGTGCAATCCATTTTTCTGCGTGCTTAAGGTTCAATTTACTTTGATGCTTTATGGAAAATTTCAAAAGCAGTTTTTTCCGACGCATTATTTCAGATTGCAAAAAGCTCGCACTATTCGATTCCTTTTGATATTTTACAACAAATGACGCGAGCTTTTTGCAATCTAAAATAATGCGTCGAAAAAAACTGCTTTTGAATTTTTAAAAAATGCATCAAAGTAAATTGAACCTTAACTAGTGTGCTTTAGTTCGAGCCGCCTTCGATGCTGCCAACGAAAGTTCCAGTGGATTTGTCTGAATTTTTGTCAGAGGAGGTTCCAGTCGATCCCGATAGAGATTTCGGATGCCGCCAACCAAAGATCCGATGGATTTCTGACGTCGACCAAGGAGGTTCTTTTCCATTTCTGTGGAGATTTTCAATGCTGCCATGGATTTTGCTTACGTTCTCAACACGGATCTCGACGTAGAAGCTTCCAGTCGATTCCGGTGGAGACTTCGGATGCTGTCGACGAAAGATCCGTAGATTCTGGTGGAATTTTCACATAGAGGTAACTCTAAGACCACTGGGTCCCGAAGAAAATCATTATTATTATTGGCTCACTCAGTACCAGAACAACGGTCCCAAGCAGTCCCAAGCTATTTCACTCACCCCTGCATGTTCTGCATGAATCCACACACCCCTGATGTTATCTGTCAAACTTTCATAGCGAATCAAAACAAACATAGTGTAGTAATAGAATTTCAACTAGAATAGGGTACGTTAATCGTTTGCTTGGGACCAATAGGCTACTAAACTGGTGAGCCAACTTAAAATCGTTAGTTTCGTATTGATTGTTGATTTTCAGGCGTTGTCGACGGAGCAAGTTCTAAACGATTCCGGTGAAGATTTTCGATGACGAAAGTTCCGGTTGATTTTTTTTATATTATCGACGAAGTAGGCTCCAGGCAATTTCGGTGAAGATTTTCGATGTTGCCAAGTTCCATTTGCTTTTTCAGACGTTGTCGACGGAGGAGATTTCAGTCAATTCTGGTGGAGATTTTCGATGCTGCCAATGGTGGGTTTTCTGATTTCTCGACTTTATGGTACTTGATTCGGATGGAAGAAAATCGTCATGTTTCTATGGAGCAGAGTGTCAACGACTCTTGAGAGCATTAAGCTTGACACTGCCATGATTGAAGGCGCATAAGCAGCTGTAACTATCAAGTTGGTTCGGCGCAAGCAGTCCTCCGCAAAGCAGCCAGTCATTCAGACAACAGAATCGTCAACCGAAGAGAATGACGTGTTGGAAGTTGAAATTTTGGTTCTATGCGCTCAGCCAACGGTACATATGGAAATGCAAGGAATGCGGTCAGCTTGGTCACATGGAAGGTACATATCAAGAGCCACATGTGAAAAGGGCATACAAGCTTTTTGTAAACAAACCTTTGTAAGCCCATTTCCCACCAACCGAGGGTCACCCATGCAAACCAACAATATCATCAGGAAGGGAAAAGTTTCCCCTACACGGTGATGTAGATGGTTTGAGTTGGTGTCATATGGGTGACGAGAAAAGGGCATAAGAAGGTTTTGTTTACAAAAAGCTTGTATGCCCTTTTCACATGTTGTTCTTGATATATGAGTGCCAAAAAAGCGAGGAATTTCAAGAAGCGGAAGCCGTTCGAGATCAAGTCCGTTTTCACCGATAATCTACAGAACCAAAGAAGATTCGTGCAAATCGAGATGAATGGAAAGTTAGTCTTCATATATGTGATTGCTAATCTTCTATAGAGATTAGTGACGTTTACCGCACGTACACTAGGGGGAGCAACGCCGTGTAAAGTTGTTTATTATTTTCCTCTGGCTAACCTAAAAAATGTATGAAAGTAGATCTGTCAAAATGAGTTTGACATCGATTTGTTATGTATTTTCCTCGGATATTCACTAACACGCTTTCACATATCGCACCAATACAACCGGACGTGAAAATCTCTATTCGTTGTTCCCTAATTTAAAGTGATTAAGACTAGGGTCTGATGCATGGTCATTCTCGGTGTCATTCCTTAATTTTGTTGCTAAGGAATCCAATTTTAACTGACAGAGAGGCGCACCTTTGGTGGGTGTCTCAACACTCCGAAGGATATAAATAGCGGGTCCTTTCAATTAGAGTCAATTATTTATAAGAGATAAATGCAAGAATGACAACTGTAAAAAAAAGCGAATACTTTATCATTTCTCAATAGTGATGGAGTAATACCATAGAGGTAACTCTAAGACTAGAAGGTCCCGAAATAACGTGCTCAACTTTTTGGCTCAGCTCTGGTACTCTCTTCGGTCCCAAGCTAATCGATTCACCCCTCGAAACAGAGGAAAAACGAATAACCCCTCATTTTATCTGTCAAACTTTCATAGCGAATCAAAACAAACATTGCGTAGTACTAAAATTTCGACTAGAATGGGGTACGTTAATCGTTTGCTTGGGACCAATAGGCTAGTCAAGTAGTGAGCCAATTTAAAATCGTTTGTTTCGTATTGATTGTTGGTAATACGACATGCACTAAACGAAGGACATGGGATATACTACAATAGATCAAATTACTGGTCGCAGTGGTGTTAGGTCCCGAACACAGGAAAAAAAAAAGTCAACATGTCTTCAATTGGATACGGGATCTAACTTAAGTGTAAGAGTTAGCGCCTTCGTTTCGAGGATTTTTTTTAGATTCTCATGGTTTTTAGTTTCCGTTAAATTGTTGAAAAGTGTCAGGTAGTGTTCGTGAGTGTTGTGCAGTTTTCTCCATTGGTAAACTTCCTGGTAGGTAAAGATAGTAGGGCTTACCGCAGAACGCAGCCATCCATTCCACCGAAACTTTGCAAAACCACCAGATGGGCGAACAACTGCCTGTTGAGAGGCCATAAGGTGTGGCGATAGAGATGGCCATGATAACGATAACGAGCACGACAAGCTGGCGATGAACGACCAATGGCCCGTATCACTGATGGCAGCCTGGAGCAGTTACCCAATGGCTCAAATACAAAATCACTGATCGCTAAAACGGTTGATCATAGCAAGCTAGCTAAATTTAGACAGTGAGTTACTCTGTCTCTGACTGCCGGCTAGAGTACGTCTGCAACTCGTAGGCCCAGGCCGTGTAATACGGTGCTCGCCATGGCCCTGCCCATCGTAATTGCAATCGGTAAGCGGCCCGACCCTGAGATCATTGGAGTCAGTGAGTCTAAGAAGAACTCCTTACTGAAGAGGTCGTGGCTTACATCAGCTTCTGCTTCTGGCTAAGCCTTCTCATCATCTGGAAAGCCTTTGAAGATCGTTTCGCAGTTCATTAGTGATGTCAGCAACTACAGGCTAGGTATGGACTTCGTAGATTTGTTTGATCTTGGGGTAATGCCGTTGACAAAATTTTGCAGTGATCATAAATTCACCTAGGAGTCATTCTTCGATCTATGGAAGATTATGGGTGAAGGTTAGCAAGAGAAATCAATTGGAAGATGTTGGGTTCATGAAAATCCCTGTCAATATTTTCCGCTGCGCTGCAAGAAAATAATGGTTAACTTCTGGCGAAAATTTAAAGAAACTTTCGGAAAAAAAATCGAATGTAACATCCAGTGGATGCCAGAAAAGTTTCAGAAATCGGAAGTTAATTCCAGGGGTGGCCATTTCCAGGGGAAGCCAGAAGAAACTTGGAAAAATCTTCCCTT